TATATCCCACCGAAGAAGAGTTAGAAATGTCATGGTTTACAACTCTTTCAATGACAACAGATATCAACATAGCATCTTAGATGGTATAGTAAAACAAATCCCAGAAAACATCTTTGTGCAAGAAACGACTATTCCCAATAGTTTGAGAACTTCTCCTGGAGTTGGTCCCACTTCTACTTCTGCTTTTGATGCTTCCAACTATATAACTCGAGAACAAATGGAAGAAATGCTGGGAATACATAGGCAACATGTAATATCAGAAGTGTTTGGTGTATGCCATAACCTGAAGGAAGAAATAATTGACAGTCAAAACCAGTTGTTTGAACAACATAAAAAATGGCAAGAAGATCATATGCAATCCAGGATTCGTTCTTATATGGATACTATTCTTGACAGTTGCAAACAAGTGTTTCAACAGGAATTCCAACAGTAGCAAAAATGGCAAGAAGATAATAGTTTAGGCAACATGCAATCTTATGTCAATAGCAGTTTAAGTTCAATGAGATCTTACGTAGATGAACAGAACAAGAATACATTGAATAATGTATCAAACATAGAAGCCATTATTGGTTGTTTCTATCCACAAAATTCCAATTCCCAGCGATTTGCCAAGGCAAACATCAATATATGAACAATAGATGGAAAGTTTTGGAGGGTTGAGAAGAGAAAATAAAGGTAAGGGAAAATAGATATTATCTTCGTCATAAAAAAGCCATCCTTTAGAAGCTTATCTAAAGGACAAGTACAACATGATTAGAGATTGGATATTGTATAATCCGTCAAGATAACAAATTTAGCTCTACTGTATTTGCTTAAATATTATTTTTTTTATTCAATGGATAGTAAATTATATTATCTAACATTAATTTATATTTTTCATATAGTACGTATTGAGAGGACAGCGGCAATTACATTGGAAGTGACATGTTGAAAAATTTGTTGGAAGTAGGAAAAGATGCAACTGCCACGGTGAGTGAAGTTTAGTAACTACAATTAATTTAATTTTATGCTTGATATTAGTAAATTAAATTTACATGTATTTACTCTGTTAGAGTATTGAGCTAGAGTTAAAGTTACTAAAGCGACTTATTAAGGATGGTTCTACCCTAATTTCTAAAGACTATGCAATAATGTATTTCAAATTTGAAGATGAGTGTTCTAGTATTTTCAACTGACTAATAGAAGAGAAAAAAATCACTAAGGAAAAAGTGGACTTCACTCCGTTAGAAGAATATACGAATGGTGTTTCGTCTATAAATGGTCGTAAATGGATGGCGTGCAAGCATCTACTAATTCCATGCTCATTTTCTGGCAATTGTTGGTATCTTTTTATGGTGAATATTCCTAAATGGAAATTTCAAATATATGACTGTAGCAATGATATTCTTATACCAGATCAAGTTATGATACATGCAAAAGCAACACACAGTACAATCCATGCATTCATTCTGAATTCTAAGCTTTCTACCAGAAAGGATGTAAGGAAACTTAGAAGTAAAACAATGCAAGTGGAGATCATACCTTATCTACCATGTGCGGGCAATGGGTGAGCATTTAAATAACTATTTATTTGTTATAATATTTAATTTTTTCTTTATATTAATGTAGCCTAATGTAAAACTATTTCTTCTACAGACCAAACTGTGGAATGTTCGTACTAAAATATATAGAATGCTTTGTTCTATGGCAGCCAATAGAATTAGTTTCACCTGATAGGATGTCAATTTATAGACAGAAGATGGTAGTGGATATTTGTAACAATGAATATTTTCTTCATCCTCGTCCTTAGTTATTTGGTTATGTAATGAGAACAAAGATTTGTAACAATGAATATTTTCTTCATCCTTCTCCTTAGTTATCTGGTCATGTAATGAGAATAAATGTTATGTAATAAGTTTTTGTTGTATTTTTTTCTTTTTCTATTTTGTCATATTGTTGGTGTATATATAGAAAAAATTAAACTATGGTGAAATCGTGATATACCTAAACAAATTGACAATGTTTTAGTTTTAGTATGAATCAACATTATAATATCACAATTTTACATGGTTTCTTTCCTTATAAATTTATTATTAAATATTCATATTTATACTTTAAATAAGAAAGATGATGAAAAAAAAAATAAGCATATTAACAAACAAAATATAACTATAATTAAAAATATATATGAAAATAACTAACCTTATGTATTCTTCTGATGAATCATGGTGAATAAATCTTCACTTTGGCAGCAACGAGATGATAGAGTAATTGTTGGACATTTTAGAATTCTAGACTTGTTAAATAGAATGTATTAAATTCAAAATTTTCAAATAGACCATATTTTTTGTGCAATAAATATGTGATTTATTTTTGTATGCTGACTTAATCAAAAAATTTATTTTTTGTCTTGTTTTTGCTCTAAACAACGCAACGTATTCCTAACCATGTGAAAACACATGTTTAGGAAGATGTAGACCTACAAAATCAAATCAGAACTCTCTGCGAGAAATCAGCTTACTAATTTTTTTCTTAGCAGTTTGAACAAACTAAATTTGTAGTTATTTTTTTATATAATAATCATGTTTAGTTTTTAGTTTGCTATTTTAATTTGTTATTCTCAGAGAAATTTTTTTCGAAAACTCCGCACTGTGCGGAGAGTGCGGAGGAAAGAGTGATCTCTCCGCATAGTCCGGAGAGATAAATTCATCTCTACGAATTGTTCGGAGATTTTTTTTAACTGTCTTTTTTTATATAATATAGTTTTCTCTATATATAAAATGCTTTTTTCGTTACAATTTCCTTTTTTTCAAAATTTTTTTCTTTCATGATGCTAATCAACATTTTGAATAAAGGGAATGAATGTGAGTGTTGAATATGCAGAAAAAATTGGTAAAGAAAATACTTATGTTTTGTCATCTTCTAATTCTCTTGCTACAAAATTCTATAAAAAAAAAAAAAAAGCAGAAGGTTTTGTTGTTGTGATGGAAAGGTTTTTAGTATGATTTATTTATTTCTACATCTTTTTAAAAAAGTTGTTCGTGTTTGCGTTTGTATAGTTTTTAGTTTATCATCTTGTTGTGCTTGTATTTGTTGTATTTATTTATTGATTGTGTTTTTTTTTACACAAAAAACTCCGAAAACTCCTCCGCACTGCGCGCTCAGTTCGTAGAGATCAATTATCTCTTCAAACTCTTCGGAGAATTTCTTTTATAGCTCTTGTTTGGTCATTTTTTAATATAATTATATTTAGTTTATTTATATGGAATGCTTTTTTTCCTTACAATTTCCTTTTTTTTTCAATTTTTTTTCTTGTAGGTGATGCTAAATGTGAGCGTCAGTGTTGAATATGCAGAAAAAATTGGTAAAGGAAGTATTCCTAATCAACCTTATGTTTTGCCATATTCTAAAATTTGTCGTCATTGTGGTGCTACAAAATTCTATAGAGAAAGCAAAGGCTTTTGATGTTGTGATGGAAATGTCAAATTACAGTTACATGATATACCTCCTGAAATGTATGATTTATTTACTTCCACATCTGAAGAGGCTATAGCTTTTAAAAAGGTTGTTCGTAGTTACAACAATCATTTTGCTTTTACTTCGTTTGGTGTTAAGTATGACAAAGAATTGTGTAAGAATGATAAAGGTATATATACTTTTAGAGTTCAAGGACAAGTATACCATTTCATAAACTCGCTTGTGTCAAAGAATGAGAATATACTTCTATGTTACTGAAAATGAAATTCGTAATAGACTGAATACTTCTGACAAATTTTGTGAGTTTACTTTAAGAAAGTTGATAGATGTTCTAAACAAAAATCTCTATTCAAAGTTTTTCTGATCATTAAGTGAAGTTAGTGATTTAGAATCATGTTGTATTTTACTAAAGTCTAATCCGGGTATTGATCAAAAAAATATAACTTGCAAACATCAAAACAAGTGGCTGTAGTTTGGGTTGAAGATGACCCATCTACAAATACTAGAGGTCAGGATTTATTAATTTATGGGCATTCAGGTAATGCATATGAAGTTCAATGCTATTATGGTTATTATGATCCTCTCCAATATCCACTACTTTTTCAGTATGGAGAATTTGGATGGCATGAAGGTATTGAAAATGTGAATGTAAGTGTTTCACAAGCTCCAGTTTTTTAGAATTTAATAAAGGTTAATCATATCTATTCCGCGGATCAATTATTGGAAGTAGAAGACTATGGTAAACGATTTTAGTAATTTCTATTTTTTAAACTAATTTATTTATGTTATTAATTGCATTTAGTGAATGAAATTTTTGTTGATATAAATTTTTTTCTTTCTTGCAGTTTTGAAGGCAAAGAAAAAATGAATAACTGTATCATGTCGAGAATATTATTGTTACAAGCTTCAAATCAGTTGTATAAATAATTGTATTCTTTTACATGCTGGCAGACTTTTACAGCAATATGTTGTGGATATATATGTGAAAATTGAAACAGCAAGATTAGACTACTTCCGTAATAACCAAAAGGTTATAAGAGCTGAACTATATCAGGGAATTGTAGATAGTGTACAAAATGGTGAGAATAGATGTTGTAAAATTGGTAGATCATTAATATTGCCTTCTAATTTTGTTGGGGCCCTAGGAATATAACTAAAAGATATATGGATGCAATGTCTTTAGTTAAAATATATGGCAAACCTGATGTGTTTTTGACAATGACATGTAATCAAAATTGGCCTAAAATAAAATGTGAATTGAAACACAGTGATGAAATATAGAATAGGCTAGATTTGTTAGTACGAATATTTCGTGCCAGGTTTGAGGAACTGAAGACATATTTGGTTAAGAGAAAGTTGTTAGGTCCTATTGCTGCATATGTTTATGTGATTGAATTTTTGAAAAGAGGATTACCTCACGCTCATTTTCTCCTTATATAAATGAAGTTCTAAGATCCAAAACTCTGTACAAATCGATGAAATTGTCTCATCAGAATTATCAGACAAACAAATACCCTTACCAACATGCTACTGTTGTATAACATATGATGCATGGTCATTGTGAGAATTTGAATCCTAAGAATGTTTGTATGGAAAAGAATTTTGTGTGTAAAAAAAAATATCCGAGAGATTACGTTGAAAATACTTCTTTGGGTAATGATTCCTACCCACTTTACAAGCGTAGCAATGATGGTGTAAGTGTTAAAGTAAGAGGGTGTATGTTGGATAATAGATGGGTTGTACTATATAATCCTTACATTTTAGCTAAATATGATTGTCACATTAATGTAGATGTATATTCTTCTGTTAAAGCTGTTAAATATCTATACAAGTATGTATATAAGAGACATGACCACATTCATTTTACTTTAAATAAAGAAACAAATGAACAATTCGTTGATGAGATTTCAAACTACCAAACAACTAGATGGATATCTCCACCTGAAGCTATGTGGAGGATATTTAGATTTGATTTATTTGATATATCTCCTACGGTAATCTCTTTACAGTTACATACTAAAGATGCTCAAACGGTTACATACAAGGAGACAAATGATTTGTCAAAGGTTATAAATAAGGATTTTGTTCACCGAACAATGTTAACATAAATCTTTAGAATGAATATTTCAAATGAAAAGACAAAAACTCTACTGTATAAAGAATTTCCAACTTATTTCGTATGGGATACATCCATGCGAATTTGAACTCCCAGAAAAAGCAAAAATATTATTGGTAGAATAGTCCGTGCTAATTCATGTGAAGGTGAGATGTATTTTTTAAGAGTTTTGTTAAATCATATTAGAGGGTCAAAATCTTTTGAAGATTTAAAAATAGTCAATAGTATTGTTTTATCTACTTATTATGAAGCAGCACTTTCCCATAGTCTTCTTAGTAGAAATAGCTATTCTAATACAGAGCCAAGAAATTTATGGGATAAATTTAAGAATTTTATAATAGAAGATTATTTACATAAAGGTTTCACACAACAAAGTGTTAAGATGAAAGCTTTACACTGTATAAATTCTTTCTTAGAAGGTGTTAGTAAGAATATAATTGATTTTTGTTTGGTAGATTTTGATTTAACTGTGAATGATGATGATATCTTTGAAACCATGATTGCCGAAGAAATAACTAATATTAATTTTCAGTCAAACATACATTATAGTGAGAGTTTAATAAAGAGCAACAAAATGCCTATGATATTATTTTGGATTGTGTTTTAAATGATAAGCATGGAATGTTTTTTATTGATGGTCCGGGAGGCACTAGAAAATCATATTTGAACAAGTCATTACTTTTTGTGTACGATCTCGAATTCTTATCGCACTAGCAACAGCATCATCAGGTGTAGATGCATCTCTATTACCAGCTGGTAGAACAGGACATTCAAGATTCAAAATTTCGCTTGAAGTAAGTTGTAATATGCGCTGTTCGGTGAGTAAACAGTCTGCACTTGGTAAACTTTTAGCATTGACTAGCATAATAATCTAGAATGAAACACCAATGGTTCATAAATATGCTTTTGAGGCTTTAGATAAAATGTTAAGAGACATTACTGAATGTCAATTACCATTTGGTGGAAAAGTCATTGTGTGTAGAGGAGATTTTCGACAAGTTTTACTAGTAATACAAAGAGGAACAAAAAACGATATAATGAAGGCAAGTTTAGTTTTTTCACATTTAAGACGTTCTTTTACACAACTAGCATTAATCGAAAATATGAGAGTTAAATTAGATCTTTCATTCTGTAAATATTTGCTGAAAATTGGGAATGGAAAAGAGAGAACACATTCATGCCAAATGATTACATTTCCTGAAGATATTACCATCAATTTTGAAGATGAATTTAAATCATTGAAGGAATTAATTGATATTGTGTTTCTCAATTTTCAGACATATTGAAACAACCTACATATTATTATAATGAATAGAATTATTTTAACCCCAAAAAATGATTATGTAGATTTAATAAACAATATGTTGCTTAAAGAAATTTCGAGATAGAAAGTTACATATTTTAGTTTTGATGAAAAGATTGATAAAAGTGATGGTTTTATTGATGAAGATTTTTTGAATAGTCTAGCTCCAAACAGTATGCCTCCACATAAACTCATATTGAAAAAAATTATCCAGTTATGTTGCTCAGAAATATTAATCCTGCTGAAGGTTTATGTAATGAGACTAGACTTATTTTTCGTGACTTTAAGTAGAATGTTATCTTGGCTGAAATTGGGATAGGAGAATATCGTGGAAAACAAGTATTTTTACCTAGAATTCTATTCATTCTTCTTGAAGGAGATAAACAGTTTGTACCATTTAAAAGAACTCAATTTCTAATTCGTCCATGTTTTGTAATGACCATTAACAAATCTTAAGGTCAAACTCTAGATTTTGTTGGCTTATATCTTCCAGAACCTGTATTTTCTCATGGCCAATTGTATGTTGCATTGTTCTGAGCTAGAATAACAAAAATATAAAAGTTCTGATCAAACCTTTTGTCAAAAAACAAATCACATACTTGTTGTACCAAAAATATTGTCTATCATGAAATCTTGAATCTAGTTTACGGTAAATATTAGAATCTTCAGCTGAAAATTTCTAAGGTATATGCTTAATTGTTTGTTATAATTCTTTATTGATTATATTTGTTATTACAAACACAAAATTAATAACAAATCCGGACTTATGACTTCTGATTGTCATGATAAAATATTGATTTTGCAAAATAGTATCTTTGCAAAAAGAATTTATGAAGTTATTCTTTCCAAAAATATATGAATTAGTCGTCATGCTCTGTATTTTTTGAATGTGGTTAATATGAATACAACTGGTAAAGCTGATATTTAGAAGTTTAGATAGAGATGAAGGAAACTATTTCTGGAAACCACTTCTGTAAGTTAAAATGACTTGATCATTTTACCATTCCATAATTATATTCCTAGGTAAATATATTACTACGGTAAGTGATATTATTACAAAACACACAGGTTCATTCTATTTGAAAACATCTTCTTAAAGGTGAATCCATCATACAACGTATGTATATATGTGTGTTGATATAACCATATATGTATAATATATAAGAGAATGTTATGTTTTAGTTAGAAAGATTGTAGTATTTTTTAATTGTAAAGAAAGGAAAAAATGTAATTTCTATGAAAATCTTTATGCAATAGTTTAAGATAGTTAACGAAAACTGAAATGGATAAACATAAATATTAAACATTACTGGTGTGAAAAGTTTCATAGACGAGTTAGAGTTCCATCGTTGTGATTTTTTTTGTAAATCATGAACATTGGAGATTCACTATTTAATAATTCAAATACAGATGTATCTCCAATTTGTAGTTCCTTCTCTGTCAAAAAATTGGCCCCACCTATAGTAAGTCGGCACATCACACCGTTTGGTCTTGAATTTGCAGTGATATTCCAATTTTGATGTAGAGAATCATGGAGCCGAACATTCCGCACATATCTTGGTAGTTGGTGTCTTGCAAACCTTCCTGGAATAGACTTCGAAAAAATATGGATGCTAATGTTAATATTAAAATAATGTGAAAAAGGTAAATATAGAATGATATATTAAAGATAGCCTACAATTTCTAGACGATTGTTCTGATTGAGCATCAATGTTATTTCGAATGCAAGATTATCCAGATGTAAAGCCTCATCTTCTTCAAAATCAGAGCCATATGTAACATCTGATCTAGAATGATCAAATATCCTCATATTGAACATTGAATTTCCATTATATTCAAATACTACAACAAAACCATCCTGTAAGTTATGATGGTCAGAAAATTGCTCCCATCCATTAGTCAAATATGTTTCTCCATCGATTGTTTGTAATTGTATTGTTACAATCGTACTATCATACGAAGTTAATCGTACTCTATCACCTAATTTGTGTCTCTAGCAATTGATAAAAGATGTAGGAAGCATCTACAATATATGAAAAAAATATAGACAGTAAATAAAACATTCATACAAATATGAAATGAAAGAAGATATTATATTTTATATAACTTACCAAACGGATGTTATGATTTAGTAAAACATCGATAATTTTGAAGAAATTATGTGGCACATCCATTTTTGTGTTGATAAACTATAGTATGTATGATTTTTAACACAATTAAAGATTGAAAATTATATATCATTTAAAACTACGAATTTATTTTGAAACAATTGTAGTAAAAGAATCAAGAAAGAAACACTATATTAAACCTGATTTTTTTTAGGAAAGCTTGGTAGGTAAAGGTAAAGATATGTAAATTGGTTGAGTATAAAGAAATGGTATGAGAAGCTATTTAAACTAAACAATACTTGTTATTTTTTGAGAGAAAATTTGACAATAGCTTCACGGGATAGGAATATAGAAATAGACAAAGTGAGAAATAGACAAGATACTTAAGACAAAACACTCTTCTTGGGATTTTTTTTAGATACGTCTGCTAGATTTAGTTAAAACTAAATTTTATTACTAATATGTAAAGTGTTGAAATAAAAAAAAAATGACTAATGAGATTAAGAAGAAATAAAAGTATAATTTTATGTAATTAACAAAAGAATAGTTTAGTTGTACAATAAAACTGTCCAATTGGTTTGATATGGTCTAATATGGCAATTGATTGTTTGTTTACTGACAAAGTAAACAATTAATAATTTAAATAGCAAAAAAAAAAAAAACATACAAATGTTTCGCACAGTGAGGAATACTAGCTAGAATGCTCCACACTGTGCGGAGCAACTTTGCTATGATTAAGACTGCAAAAAATAAAAAAAATAAAAAAATGGCTAATATATCATTCAAATTATTTAATTAGTTAGTAAAACAATTAAAAATTAATAATTTAGTAAATAAAAATTTAAATCAAAACAAAAGGGGAAAAAAAAGAAAGGAAATACTTCGCACTGTGCGGAGTACTTGTTGGAGATGCTCCGTGCAAGCGTGTGGAGCATTTGCTCCGTACAGTGCAGAGCAAATTTTTTTTCTTTTAGATTTTTTTTTCTTTTGGATTGAAATTATTATTTATTATTAGTTGTTTATGTCATGAGCCATACCTCTACCTCTGAATTTTACATTTTTTTTTCTTTGCATACCACTGGTGGTAAACTAATCTATTTTCATACATTACTATGTACTTAAAAATTTCAGACTAATCCATTCCAGTACATTATACTCTAGACTGTACTTATATATAACTTTCCATACTTCACCGATTTTATCTAATTTTTTTTTTTAACTTTAAACCATTTCATTTCTCTTGCACACAAGAGTGATTTTTTTTTTCCTTTTTAGTGCTCCAAACAGTGTGAAGCAATTTCAGCAAGTCCTCCATACTCTTGCAGAGCAAATTTTTTTTCCCTTTTCTTTTGGAAATTTTTTCCCTTTTTTTATTGAAATTATTGTTTACTAAATAATTAATTATCATTGATTGTTTACTGTCGTGAGTTGCTTGCCATACCTTCACCATACTACCTTCACCATACTGGTATACATATCTTTTTTCTATCCCATACCTTACAGATTTTATCGTACGAAACTAATCCATTACTCTATATTTATATACTTACACATTTCATTATACATAGACTAATCAATTTCCATATATTATACTCTAGAATGTACTTTAATATAATATACTTGATAAAAAAAATTTCAAGTTAATCAATCAACTAATTTACTTGGCCATACTTCATCGATTTTATCTAATTTTTTTTATAACTTCGACAAATTATAATGTATCTATTAAAACCATTTCATTTCCCTTCTAAGATTACTATCCTCATAAATCTTCTACTCTACTCTGACTATATTTGACATTATTTATTGGGGAATTTGGTGAGATAGCCGGGTTTGCCAATGTTTTTGGAGAAATAGCCTTTGACCAATACAAAGAGGAGAAAAAAAATGAAAATAGTTTAATTGAAAAAATGACCAAACTATCCTTCACATTTTAACACAAAAATCCTTCCATATTCCCTCTTCACCCCGTTTCTTCCTAAGGTAAAAACCCTATTCCCCCAAATTCAAAAATAACGTCTCTTTTCTTCTTCCCCTTTGAGAAAATCTCACAAAATTGACTACGAATCTCATGAAATCGACCTGGCCTCTGATATCCATACAAAAGAACACGACGAGTAAAGGTGAGCGAAGTGACTCCACCTGTCGCCTCGAAGACTTTGTTTTGGAACTACGAGTTTGTGGAAATTCCTCTCTTTGCTACTGCGACTGTAAAGGTGAGCCCAAATTTAAGGTACGGCTTCTTCATCTCATGCCTTCTTCATACTTCACCTCATTAGCATTGGCCTATTCACCACCATATTTAGTGGCCGAATGGATCGTTCTCCATTAGATATATTTTTGCCTAAGTATATTAATATACTTGTTCGAAGTTCTAGGTATTATAGGTAAAACATGTCTTATAATATAGAACCAGAAATTACTTCAAGCTTATTCCAGAGACTTCAGCTTCCAACGATTTTGTCTCCACCTGTTATTATTTAGTAGTTAGTTAGTTAATTTGTTAGTTGGTTAATTAGTTAGATAGTTTGTTAGTTGGTTAGTCATTTAGTCTATAAATAGAGCATTTTGTATACCTTCTAATTCATTGAATATTTTCCAATCTTTAGTATGATTTCATATCGAATTTATCATTTCTTCTTTTTACTGCTCTCTAGTTCTATGCTAGGGAGAATTTAACACGGTATCAGAGCATTTCTTCATTACTTCTAGCTGAGCCTCTGCTATTCTGTATAGGAGATTTTGCTTCCAGTTGTGTAGATGAATCAAGTTTCTTGTAGTCCTCAGAAAATGTGGATCAAAGTAGTCCACCCAATCGAACCTTTGTGAAGGTTCACAAATCATGTTTCTTCAGATAGTCACTCGATATCTCCAAATTTAGCAGCTATCAAGAGCTGTGAAGAGAGCTTGACTAATAAAATGCTCTCCTTTCTTCTTTTCCAGTTCACATTCTCTTTTGTCGAATTTCTGCAATTATAATGGCAGACTTCAATATGGTTTGAGTTTTTCTTCATTAGTTCTTTTCTTCATTTCTTTGTTCTCAAGCTCCTGTACCTATAATGGCAGGAAACAATGAAGCTCGAGTTGACCGAGAGAATGATGTTCTCCTACTTGGGGATGACCCTTAGCAGATCTAGTTACATCGTTTTATCAGTTTGACATGCTATGGTCACTGCTTGCAAGTGTTATATTTGCGCCCTTTTTTCAGAAAATTCCTGGAGGCAGCCCCATTCTTGGATATTTGGCTGCAGGAATCTTAAATGAACCATATGGTGTGTCTATGATCCGTCATGTTTCATTCTAATATCTTCAAGATGGGCATTTTGAACATCCATGCCCCTCTTGAGGGTGGCTCTTACAATATAGAACCAGAAATTACATGCTATGAAGTCAAGAAGAAACTCATAAAATTAAAATTTTAGAGCATGTTTGGTCTTTTGCTTATATTAAAGAAAAATTCAAAGTTGGCAATCAATATAGAATTACAAAATAACTACCTATTCCTAATACTTTAGTCAAGATAAAACCAAATTTTTAGAAACTAAATCACTATGTGGTCTGTTGTCCTTTGCCACGTTCAAGTCCAATTTTGTATTGCCATTGTATCCCTTCATCGTGAACGCAAAGATATACCATTGGTTCCACATAAATATGAAACAGACAAATAGATAGCAACTTGCATGCTATGTCTACCCTAATAAATATTCATCAGTTCAATCAAGTCATGCAGTTTTATCCATTGTTATCCATCTGTGCATGTGGGTGGGAGTTTAGGTAGCAAAAAACGAGTACAAAACCCACCATCACATTATGACATGTTTTCTTACCTCTTAATTCTATCTCTCTAAGTGAAATGGTGGCATATAATTGAGCTAAGACTTGAAATTTAAAAATTTATGAAAAAGGCACAATCCTCATGCTGCAGACTAAATCTTCATAAAACAAGCACTAAAGTTATGATCTACATTCAGGAATCACGCTTATTTGTTCCTTGCAATTAGCTTATATATCGTCCTGAGCTTTCCTAACAAATATATCTTCCTTTACTACAATTTTTTGTTGCCTTGGAGCTTTCTATGTGTAGTCATGAAATAGCTTGTAAGTCATTATTTTTGTCCAATGCTTTGGTAAATGATTGCTTTGAAAAATAAGAATGCTAACTCAATTATTGTTTTGCATTTTACAATAGGAAAAATGGATGCTGAAGACATAGGGAACGTGAAGATAAGTAATAGATGTAGAATGAAATTGATCGATGAAGTTTTCTACAGCTTAGATGACAAGTATCAGGACCTATTCACCAACTCCTGCTTTGGACGTTTGTTAAGCCTGAGAAACATAAAGCTTGCATTCCAATTATTCCACCAATTGATTCTGAGGTCGACAAGTACCTCAAAAGAAAATGAAGTATTTATTAAGGTTGGAGACAAGCTTGCAAGATTTGGATTGCAAGAATTCATACTGGTGACTGGACTTAAAGTTGGGGATTCGGAGAACAAGGGTCCGAAGCTAGGACAAAATTCTAGACTGGTCAAAGAGCGTTTTAAGCGTAGTAACAATAAAATAAAGAGAGGTTTATTGTTACAAGTTTTCAAACGCTGCAAGCATAAGAATGATAAATATAAGTTGGGGCTCCTTGTCATACTGTTGTACGTGCTTTTGGCAGCAGAGGAGAATACATTTCTTAACCCATGGTTGTTTTATTTGGTGGATGATCTCGATAGATTTAAAAACTATTCGTGGGGAAAAAAGTCATATTGAATCGTCAAATGTGAGTTTTGTTTATCAAAATGTAAATGGCATACCGATAACTATAACAAAACAATTTGCTGAATAATTATACATTCTTGTTTTTTCAGATGGAGGTACATTGTATGCTAAATCCTACAGACGATGAATTGCTGGAGCCGTTCTGGAAGGAATTCGGACCTTTTGATGATGAAGCGGATCCTAAGTTGGATAATGTCCTTCTAAGGATGAAGGTGAAAAAGAATCTCAGAGTGACGATGCTCAATCAAGTTTTGCTCGCCCACAATGTCCTAAGACATCGGATCGACCATCTATGT